TAGATGACATTCCTGCTAACTGTGTCGAAGGCCTTTTGTAAGTCAACGAATGCTACATAGAGAGGTGCCTGTTGTTCACGGCTTTTTTTCTTGCAATAAACACTGTGTGAAAGACATGTCAATTGTGGAGCATCCAGTTTTCAACCAACAGTGGCTCTCAGGGTCTGACTGTCTTGGAGTCTTTTCAGCGGGACCCTTGCAAGAAGATAAGGACTGTAATAAATAAATTCATTTTTGAAATGAGATGCTGCTCAATTCAGAAAAGCGGTGGAAGGGTGCCTCAAGTCCTGAAAGGTTGAGAACCGCTGCTGTAATTCCACCACACCTGTTGGATGCGAGGTAGGAATTAATCGAGGGAAGTTCCACTGCCTGCATTATGCAAAAGGTGATGCTAGATGATCACACTATTTCATTCCTTTTGGCCATAAAATCTGTCAGTTCAGATTATATTTAAATATTGTAATTTTTGTGTGCGCTGTATGGTCTCCTGCAGCCATTAAACATACCTCTTGGGAACTACAGATTGTTTCTACAGAAATGTTTTATCAGAAAAGTATGTAAAGCAGGCTTTTATTTCCGGTAAGATGTCTGTATTTTGAGAGAAGTCCTGCTATCTAACCTTGTTCTTCATTTCTTATTGCCTACACGTTTATTGTATTTCTTTCTTCTCTTGGGCATACTTTGCTCTTTGGTCCCCCTCTCTCTAGGATCAAATGCATAAAAGATGTGGTCCTCTCCTCTCTTTTATTAGATAAACTGTTTAGCTGCCAGTCAGACCCTTTTCTGCCCAATAGCTGTAGTAGCAGTGCTGGGTATGACCCACAAGGGTTAATTCTATTTCCTGTCCTCTGTAGTATCAGTTCCTTATTAAATGAAATAAGCTGGCTTTTCTTTGTCTTGGTGCCCTTCAAAAACAGCTGAAAATATGAGGAAGCGCAAAAGTTCTGAGGGCCATGGCTTGGGTATAGAGACTGCTCTGTGACACTGTGGCTAGATGCAGACATTCAAACAGTCCAAGGTGGAATCAGTCTAAGTTACGCACTTTTAGGCAATATTTTACAGTTAGGGTGGCCAAAATCTGGAACCAACTTCTCAGGGAAGTGGGCCTCACCCCTACCTTGGGCAAATTCAGGAGGAGGTTGGATGATCACCTGTCTGGGGTCTTGTAAACCCAGCATTCATTCCTGCCTGTGGTAGGGGGTCAGGCTAGATGATCTGTTCAGGTCCCTCCTGACAGTAGCTACTGTGAAACTATGTATGCATTGTAGTTTAGTTCGGTAGTGAACAGAACAAACATTTGCCCTTTGGTGGGGGGAAGGAGGAGGCAAATCTTAGATCGGGTTCCGCCATTTTTAAACCAGTCTGTGTGCGCCAAACTTCTGTTCTGTTACAGGTATAGACAGGTTTCTGATCACTTACACTGGTAAAACAGTAATGTCTTTTTATCTGGCCTTTGGAGATTTTTTTTATGCTATTTGTCTTTTTAAAAAGGGTGAAATTTTAAATCAGCCCCCAATCAAGATAAGCTGTATAGCACTTGGTGCAGATTAGAATCAAAACACCATCTTTTGTGAAAAGATCAAGAGTCTTAAAAAATGTAATCCATTAAGTCACAATCTGATTAGAAAGAAGCTAAAAGTCACGGTGGCAGTTTCAAACTTTGGTAGGCCTTATTTATGCTTGAGGAGTTTGTAGTCACTGCATTACCTCTAATTGTTGCATCTAATCATTATGATCGGTACGCACATACTTGTGACGGGGCTTTGCCAATACCCAGAAATTTATGACTGTGGTGTTGCCTGTTCTGAATGTTATTCCAATATTTCAGAAGTTACTTGTGCAGCAATAACAGTTCTTACAGCTTTGTCATGTTTCATGATATCTGGTAGTCTTTACCTTGCTAGAGTCATGTGATTGGACACAAACCTCAGTTTTCCTTTTTTTAGGGAAGCTTTTAGCTTTTATGGGGGTTTTTTTAATGTGAGCCCTAGAAGCTTAAAAAGAAAAAAATGAAGTTCTAGAAACTGGCAAGTGTTAATTTTCAAGAATCTCATAATGTTGTGGGGACCTGACTTCTGATGCATGAACACATGGAAGGAATAGTGTTGTCAGTCCCACTTGTTTTCAAGGAGTTGCTCTTCCAGGGTACGGCCCTGTGTCTCATTACACAAGTCAGCCTTACTAAGAATCTAAGGTTCTTATCTTATGTATCAGCTGCTAACACCACAGCAGTGCTGCGGCAAACATACTTGTCCATGCAGGAAGACAGACAGGAAATCAGTTGCCACATTCGCAAAATGATGATATGATGTATTCTTTCAGCATATAAATGCAATGTTCAGCCACCCCTTACTTAGCTTTTGACAATCCTTTTCTTCTGCCTACTGTTACTGAAAAAATTCTGCTTTTTGAGAGTTAGATTTATGAACAGTGATACAAATAGTCTTTAGGTGCTGATAACCTGTTCTCTTTCAGAATTTTAATTAAATCAAAGAAATCTTTTTTTTTTCGTTCTAGTATGTTGCTGGGTTTCTAATGATTGAAAATGTTTGTTTGATGTCATCCTTGTTAACAGCTTGACAGTCAAATCTATTCTATGTAGAAGGACAAGAGTTGATTAACCCAACCTATTGGAAAAAACATAGACTTGAATTGGAGACCAAGCTAGATAAGTTCAACTCTAGCTTTCACATTTCATCTGCAGAGTTTAGAGGTATTCATATCTGGAAGTTTTCAAATGTGGACCTCTACAATCCATTCTTTTTTAAGTTCATTTTTAGTTTGACCAGAGTTCATAAATAGGAAATTAGGTAATAAGCATACTGCTGTAGGAGATGGGGGAAGCGTCTTCCATGCAAAGGAAGAAAGCAAACTCCAGCTGTAGAATCCATTCCGTTTTCATCTCAGTTCCATATCTAGCAACAAATTTACTAGCAACCTATGCAAAACACAGATTGCCGGGAGACATTTGCCCCCATCAATTGGCAGCTCCCCCCCTAAAAACCAAGTAAACTTAAAAGATATTACAGAATGCTGATATAAGCCCTGGTGATTTCAGATATTGACTTAAAAGATTCCTCACAGAGAATCTTTAATACTGACTGCCTTCCTATAATGAAGGGATCTCAAGGCTGAGCTCCTCCAGATAGTATAACTGTGGCAATGGTGCACTTTATTATAAATGCTTATCATTCTAGACCTAAATTATGTACCATACAGGAAATAAAACTTAAAACCAAGTCCTGAAAAGAAATATAGGGGAGGAGGAAATATAAGAAAAAAGTTTCAAAAGTGATTAAAATGGTGTAGGATAGATTCAGTCCCTGAGATTTCTGTAACTTGGAGCCATCACAGAATTATGTGATTATGTCAGTTTAATGCATTGTGTTGGAAGCTGCCAAATTTATGTTCTGACTCTCAAGAAGTGCTGTCCATCCACAAATGACTACTGGGAGTGAATGGTGGGAACAGAGGATCAACATCTGTATTAAAAAAAATTCTTTAATTAGGGCCCGTGTGTGAATTTAGGTACTGTATTTAAGGCATTAGTTAAAGCTTTTAAATTAGGCATATGACCAATAAGATCCTCTAAACTGATGAACAGTGAAGTGTTGGTCATAGAGGCTCCCATAATATTAGAAATAAAAACGTGCTTCCTAGTTATGGTGTTGAATCTCTTCTGAACAATGAGCATGCCCTTTTGAGTTACTTTGACCTTCTTTCTCTATTTCTGTTCATCATTTCAATTGTCAGTTACCAGTAACGGCTATTCGGGTTACACTGCTTGCTCAGCAATGCAATTTCCTTTAAGTTTTTTCTTTCAAGGAAGTGAAACTACTGCAGTGCAGTTTTTGCACTTGAACATGCCAAGTGAAATGGAGTGACTGGGGCTGAAGAGAGAAGTACCTGAGAGAAATTGCTTTTGCAAAAATACTCTTCTTCTGTAGTGTCAGAAGGAAAAATCTTTAAATCTGTATCAGTGTGTCAGTTTAGGAAGTGTAGCAGGTTACCATGATATAGTGTGTACTGGATTCAGTTTAACATACCAGGTACCCAGGCTAGTCTTTGCCTTATGTACTTTGTGTGTCTACATGAAACTTGATTGGTATCACTACATTAACAACTGTAGTTCTGCTCGTTGACGAAGAGTAAGTATACTTTTAACTTTTTTTTCCAAGCAAAGCTTTGTATCTTTACTTTGAAGATGGACTCCTGTTCAAGGAGCCCTTAAAACTGGGTGCTTAAACAGAGTTCTCTTTAAGTAACTGCTTGCAAAATTGATTTTTTTCTGGTAGAGATAGAAAGAGAAGGTAAAAAGAAATGTCTATGATTAAAGTCCATTTGGATTTTGGAAGGTCTTTTTTTAAACTTTTTGTAAAGCTGGGATATAAAGCTGTTGCTCTGACAAACTGATCAAAACATGTGCAATAGCAGAAAAAGGAGAGTTGACTTAGACTTTAATAATACTAAGGTAGGTATAGTGTATGCGTCACAGCTGCAAAACTTGAATATTTTTTTGGATTGCCGTTAAGGATGGTTTAGGATTGCTTTTAAGAGCCTGATGTAGCTATGCAAGTCAGGAATTTTATTTTGCTAATACTATCAGTTACTTGTTGAACTCTGTTTAACTACTTTGTTGATGGTTAAGTCATGACTTCTGACTACTTAAGGTACTAGAAAAGTAAAAACACGTTTTAAATATTTGTGTATATTTTTTTAAGCTTTAATAGAGCTCATGCATGGGTGGTTATAATAGGAAATTGTTTGAGGCAAATTTGAGTGTTTTTCTATAATTGTGATTGCAGTACTATGTTGTTTGAGATGTACTTTAAATTGTGGCAGGATAACCCAAAGGACCTGAGTATAATTGTCCTTTTTAGCATTGTAAAAATCCAAAAAATACAAATTTAAATCTTTTGCTTCCATTTTTTTGCTCCCAAAGAGATTGTGAAAAGGTAGTCTTTGAAACAGTAGTGGCTTCTATAAAAATCTGTATAATTTTGTGTAATGTCAGAGGGAAGGCATTGATAGAGACCTGTTGCCTAATAGGCCACTGGAATGATGTCATGGAGGCACAATCAACATTCTGGCTGTTGTGAGAAGGAGATAAAGGAGCATTTATGAAACATTTAAAGTTAGAGCTGTATTTTTTTTCTGGTGCAGTGACAAATGTATGCAACCTCAAATGCAGCTGAAGTGTACATGACAAAAATAAATCTTTATTAATCCTAAACATTGGGCTACTGATACTTGATGAATTAAAGTATATTTTATTCAACTAGTATTAGTTTTGGTATTAAATTGAAACAATGCAAATCTTTCTGAGACGAGTATTTTTTCAGTTCCCAAATGAGCTAGCTATCATCATTAGCTTCATGTGGTTAAAAACATGTCTGTCTTGTGATCTTGATTAGTGGTCCTATAATGGTTAACAATAGGCTCTTTATATTTCAGTGTTCTCATCTAGTGAGAACTTGCTATTTAAAAAGAAGTACTCAAATGATCTAAGATTTAAAGTAAGTGAAAATGGTCTGAGGTTAGATGAAGGTTGTTCAAGATGTGAACCTCCTTGGAAGCTCTCCAGATCCTAGAATGAGGTCCTGTTAATGAGTTTCTCAAAGATGCTGTGCAAGGGGAAATACAGTTTTATGGCTTAACGGCTGTCGATTTAAACAAACACCCTTTATATATGCTGGCAATACCTATAAGACTTGACGAATTCACTTGCCCAAACATAAACAGCTAGTAGGAAACTTGTTTGTTCATATGCATGACCTTACCCATTGGCACCTGTAGAATCTATGCTTTCATTTAAAAAAAAAAAAAAATCCAAATGTTTGCAAAGAAAACCTTCCATATGTAAAATGAATGTAAGTAGGTGAAAGATTGCCTTTCAGACTGCCTGAAACTAAAGAAAAGGTGCTGTTAAACTCAAATTTTGATCCAGAAGATTTTTAGAGTTGTGTTTTAACATCTGTTTGCCCACTCTAAGCTTGACTTAAAATGAGAAGGCAAACGGCAGTTTTATGAATAGTTTTGTGTCAAAAAAACTTCCACGGTGATTCTTACAAAGCTGCAGCAAAGTTTGCCAATATTTTTATAATGTGGGATCACATTTCAGGAAGGCATAAACAAATCATTTGTCACATTCGGGAAGATTTGTGCTCTTCTGTGTCAATATAAACAACCACTAAAGCATTCCATGTGAACAGTGGATTTCTGGGGCACTCTACCAATCCTGAGTCAACTCCACTGTGGTCTACTGGTGTGTCAGGCAAAAAATAGGGCTAACACAACTGGAGCATCATCAGATTACATACCCGCAACACCAGTATCTTGTGCTGGCAAGGGAATAAAATATAGCTAGTGGAACTGAATTCAATGAATTTGTAAAGTATATTTTAACTATAGTTCTGTATATTTTAACTGTATAGCTTTCTAACTGTATAGCTCACCTCTTCTGTGCTAATTGAATAATAATTGTAGTTATCATGATATCTGGGATAGTCCTGGTTGCTTGATTGTTCAGTTCCTTTTGCTTGGTTGCTTCCATTTAAAAATAATAAAATGATGCTGTCAAAGCAGCTGATTTCAGCTTTCATAAAAATTCTGAAAACTGAATCAAAGTTGTGAGCTACACAGAAAATTTAAGCAGCTTCATTTGTTTTAGATGAAAACTCTCTGAAAACAGTGCTTTTGTTATATATGCCAGGACCTTTTATATCAGTCCATTTTGGCAAAGTTTTTCTCTTTTCAGCTTTTTTCCTGTAAAAACCCACAACTAAGAAGGCAAGGTGCACATGAAGTACCAGTAACTGAAATGGTAGTTTTCACATAACTATTTGTGATTTGATGTTATTGTTTTTAATGGAAACTGCAACAAACAAAACAGTGGACATGAGCGGAAAAATATTCTTCTGTAAACTGTCCGTAACATGCTTGTGGTAATCTGATTGTTTTCTGTTTGCTTTTAGTGGCCACAGATGTCTTCAATTCCAAAAGCTTGGCCATTCAGGCCCAGAAGAAGATTCTTGGCAAAATGGTGTCTAAATCAATAGCAACTACCTTGATAGATGATACCAGCAGTGATGTTTTGGATGAGCTCTACAGGGTCACAAGGGAATACATTCAAAACAAGAAGGATGCAGAGAAGATCATTAAAAATCTCATTAAAACAGTCATCAAGTTAGCAATTCTCTATAGGAATAACCAGTTTAACCAGGATGAAATAGCACTGATGGAAAAGTTCAAGAAAAAGGTTCATCAACTGGCCAAAACAGTGGTCAGTTTCCATCAAGTGGATTATACCTTTGACAGAAATTTCTTGTCCAAACTGTTGAATGACTGTAGAGATCTACTTCATCAAATCATCCAGCGCCACCTGACTGTAAAATCACATGGACGTGTCGACAATGTGTTTGATCACTTCTCTGATTGTGAATTCTTGGCTGCCTTGTACAATCCTTTCGGACCTTATAAACTCCACTTGCAAAAACTCTGTGATGGTGTCAATAAAATGCTTGATGAAGGGAACATATAAGTACTTGCATTAAGGTTGACTGTTATTATTAGTTGATGGAATGTGGCTGATTTATGAAGGAATAAGGGAAGCCCAAAAGTAGTTACTTAAGTATGACAGGTGCTTCAAAAAGGTCTTTACCAAATTGAATCCTTATTATGAGCCAGCCTCTGCTATTCCTAGTCCATCTAGAACAAAGACTTCAAATGATACTGCTTTATTGTGCTTTGCCTAAGAAAACAGCTGGAGAAAAGGTTAAAGAACAGAACTGAAGAGGAAGACTTGTAACAAAATGAAATAATGTGTTATCATATGATACGAGTTATGGTTTCTGTGTGTTGAGAACATATTAAATCATCAGAAGGCCATTTTTTGTAACAGACTAGTATGGTGATGGTACACCATGTAATGTCTTTAATTTACATATAAAATATATAGTCGATTCATTTTATATTCACATGTGCTCTATGTATTTGCGTAGATCACAGCTTTCTAGTGCTGCTTTTTTGAAGAATTCAGTTTTACAGTTTTCATAACAGTGATGTGGAGTTTGAGCTGTTTTGTTAATATGCAGTCTAGTGATTACAAAAAAAAATTATATTTGAAAACCTGGCAAGTGACCCTTACAGATCGCCTCTGGTGCCTTTTAAGCTTTGATCATTTTGGGAACAGTAAATTACAGTAAAACAGCCTGACTAGGAAAATGTAGTCCCTAGAAAATACCTGTACTATATATCATTTTATTTTGAAAACTAAGTCTCTAGTTGAAAGCTGAATTACAATACAGTAAATTAGTTATGCAGTTAATTAATACCCTGGAGGGTCTGGCTACTAAATCTCCAATCTCTTCTGAAACCATAAGAGTCAGTGTATAGGATTCTGTATATAGTAATGTGAATTCAGGAAACAAACATCTGAAAAAGAAAGAAATTTCAAACCAATTTGCTTTGTGTACAGTCAATGTAAAAGCAGAAGTGAGTGAGTTTATGGTATTTTGTTGGGATACATGCTATTTAAATAATAGAGAAATGTCATTTTTAATACAGTAGCTTAAGTTAAAGATTTGTATCTAGCTCCCTCTCCTTCACCCCACCCCCTGGAAAAAAGGACTTTTCAGACACAGTAATGTGCTTCAAAACATAAAGCTATTGCATTTCAAACACCCGAAAAGTTTTTTAGGAAGCCTGTGAAGAACTTTTGTGGTTTATTTAATTGCCAAAATGTTGCTGTTTGCTATGTCTTTTGTTTCATGAGTAAGCCAAAGATTTGCACTCTATACTTTGTGCATGTTTTATTCTGTTATATATTAAATTATAGAAAGAAAGTGCGAGACAATGGGTAGACCAGAACAATCTTTCATATATGGCCTCCCTATTATTTCTAGTTTTTTCTAGAATGGAAGAACAATTCAGTCTTCACATTAATTCTATCACTGTACTCTGATTTTTTTTTTCTTTTTTTAAAGAAGTCTGTCAAATATGGGTGGGGTTTTTTTTGAGGGATGGGGCTGGATTTGTGGATTTAGACTGCCAGCTTCTTTTACATAAGAGCCAGTGATGAAGGGTTGAGGTCACAACCATCTGAAGAACTTCTTTGCCAGCAGATGCAATCTTAGTGTCAAATATTTTTAACATTGCACTTTGTCCATCATAGGTCATTTTTGTTTAATGATGCAATAACATAAAGTTACTGTACTCGGTCAGTAATGTTGTACAGTAATTATTTTGTAACTTTGCAGTTACATTTTTTTTCTTTTCCCTCCAACTTTCTGTCTACTGAAAGGAGAATGGGAAGAGTTGGTGACATCTAGAAACCTGTGTTTAATATTTGTAAACTTAGGCTACAAACAGATGTTGCATTTGTCCCTGGACAAGTTGTGCCAGCGTTTGTCCCAGAACAAAAACATCCTGGGATTGACGTATACAGATTCAGATATCTGACCAACTGCGCTTTGTCCCAGAATAAAATGGTTACCTTGGGACATGCAATGTCTGTTTGTAGCCCTTGAGACTCTATATCTATTGCTAGTTTTACCCACTCCTGCTCCAAATGGCATCATTTTTAATTAATTTTAAGTCTACTTGCAAAGAGAATGTGATGGGTATTTTAGAGCCAGGCATACTATATACATTCGATATGCAAACTTCTATGCGTGGACTTTAGTCAGGACGTGAAACATTCTGGTTATTCAATTTTGAGGTTTCCCTTGAGCAGAAATAGGTTTAAAAATGCTTTTGTTATAGGGGGAACAAATGTCCAAAAGTCCGTGAACCTGAACCATTATCTAGCAATATGTTTGCTTCTTCAAATAGGCTAAACTGATGATGAATACTAGAAGTTTGAGAGCTATAAGATATCACATCTAGTTGGCAACTTTGACATGTTCTTCCAGGCTGCGAAAGAATAACTAGCATTCTTGTACAACTATAAAGAAGGGACTTTCATGAAAATGAGTTTAAACAATTTGATCACAGATCACCAAAGGTCTAATTTTGTAGAGATTATGAAATGGTACATGCACTGAGCTATCTAACTTTATAGTTCATTTATTTTTACTATGTAAACTATTTATAATGAGCAGAGTTTGAAAATAAATTGACTTAATGGCTTTGTGAAGACTCTGTGTTTTTCCCTGTGAAACATTTTAAATATAGCCATTCAGAAATATATCAACTCACAGCACATTAAGTGCTAGATTTATTCAAAATCTGTATTCTTCCCTTATCTCAGTTTGGAAACTCAAGTTAAAGTTGTATTTTTTGTCATGTTTTAACTTGCTGATGAAAGAAAGATAATGTCCATTGTTTATTAAATAAAATGTCTAAGGGTGGTGAAACTTGCAAAACGTTACAGTTTTTAATAGAAGAAATATAGGACACAAACCCTGTAATGGTAAAAATGAGAATCTTCATAAATAATTTACTTTTACTGTAGGTGTTTTAAGGATGGTCCTGTACTTGCATGTTGCAGATGCATAATGTACTTAACAGTTTTGGTTTATTAATCAAAATGTTACCAAAACAGATATAACTTGTGGCGTGCTTCTTAAAGCCAAATGTATTACTTTTTGTGGAAGTTGACAAGTGATAAATGAGGCAAGTGATAAACATTAAGTAAAATGTTTTAATATCCACCAAATCATTATCATCTTAGTTGCATAAAAGGAGAAGATAAAGAGCGG